ATGAACGTAGATAAGTATGTTTATGGAGCAACTTACAATCCCCGCCCCAAGGGGGTTATTGGGAATGACAGTCTTGTGAGCTGAAAGCTCGGGCTCAGGCACCTACCCTACCCTAGAAGGGCTGGGCATGGTGTCGATGACTTCAAGTAAATTTATTTAGGTACAGATACACATAAATACAGTTACACAAATTTTCATACATAGTAATATACATGTATATGTAAATTACCTAGGATAACCCCGAAAAAAAGTTAAAGTAACTTCTTATTAGAACACATATATCATGGAACGAGTATATCAAAATGGATTCAAACAACAGCTATATACAGTAAAATGTTAGGATTACATGAAGTGTATCAAGTTAGTAAATAGCAGCATCTAAAGCCACCCTGTCAGGTAATACACTAACATTAAGGCCAACTATTCAAGTTTGCCGCACTCCTACTTGCACTGGTGTCTGACTGAATTTTTTAAATACACTACCTAACAGAATACTCCATTCGACTGAATGTACAGCAATGCATGCAACCATATGACCTGTCTTTGTAATACTCATTTGTGCTTTATAGTTATCTGTTTACAATAATGTTTTATCACTGATTTCATCATTGCTTAGTTAATCTTAAGTTAATTTTAAGCCAGCCCGTAATGCTATGCATATAAGTGGCTTTGGCATGCTGCTCTTACCTGTATTTTTTTTGTACCTCTGTATGTATGCTAAAATTACTAAATAAATAAATAAATAAATAAATGGAAGGCTTGAAAAACTGCGACGGATCGACGAGGATCATCCCAAGTCCGCGTACCGCTAAAATATGAGAAGTACTTAATAGTCCCAGAATCAGAACCGCGTCATTTAAAGAAATACCCTCACTGACATTAATATGCAGGTAAACCCATCCTAACCCTTATACAGAATACATTCAAACTTTCTTCAGAACTGGTGGGCACTCCTCCAAATGGATTATGCAGTTGACTTCCAAACGGATCTGATACAGAACTTACACATAGTAAGTCAGTGACACTTCCTGCACCATAGGAATTTATTCCTTTCTAAATCTAGTTCGTCTCTCTTTTCCCTTCCCCCGAAATAACTTCAACAAATCATAATTACATGTATAGTGCTTAAAGTTAAAGATACTCACAGATCACTCTCCTTGTAAGCTTGGTAGAGGCTTAACTCCCTCCATCAACCCATCGGTAGAGCTGATTGTCCCATTCTTGCGTGTAAAACATAAACGGTGCCTACCTAGAAAATGCGAAAAAAAATAAAACCTTATTTAATGTTTAATAATTTTAGCACTGCCTAAAACTATTCATTGCTATTATCATATTGAAAGCCAATGTCTGGCTTAGTTCCACTGTGGCTCTTCGATCTTCCCCAGGATGCAATCTACAACAGGTGAGCAGAGGCAATAGGCGATTTATGACCAGACCTTTGATAAGATGGGGAAGGAAGAAGGATGGGTAAGGATGGAAACAGGTAAGATAAGATAAGATTAAGATAAGATTTCGTTCGGATTTTTAACCCCGGAGGGTTAGCCACCCAGGATAACCCAAGAAAGTCAGTGCGTCATCAAGGACTGTCTAACTTATTTCCATTGGGGTCATTAATCTTGTCCCCCAGGATGCGACCCACACCAGTCGACTAACACTCAGGTACCTATTTGCTGCTAGGTGAACAGGACAATAGGTGTAAGGAAACGTGTCCAAATGTTTCCACCCGCCGGGAATCGAACCCGGGCCCTCCGTGTGTGAAGCGGGAGCTTTAGCCACCAGGCCAGGTGTGAGGAAACAGAGGCAACAGGTGTAAGGAAACAGGCAACAGGTGTAAGGAAACGGAGGCAACAGGTGTAAGGAAAGAGACAACAGGTGTAAGGAAATGGACGCAACAGGTGTAAGGAAATAGGCAACAGGAGTAAGGAAACAGGCAACAGGAGTAAGGAAACAGGCAACAAGTGTAAGGAAACAAGCAACAGGTGTAAGGAAACAGGCAACAGGTGCAAGGAAACATACCCACTATTTCCACTCGTGCCGGGGATCGTGATCTGGGCACGTTACCAGGGTACTACCTCTTGAATGGGTAATACAACAGGTTCGATCCAAGGAAAGGGTAGTCAGGTCCAATTCCCTGGATCAAGAGCCTCTTGCTAGCGCCAAGGATAGCTCCCTTGGAGGGATCCCGAGTATTAAGTTACAACAGCAGTAATCGCATGAGAACGAAAATAGCGAATACTTAAATAGGAAATGCATTCATAACTAATTTGGATTACGTCGGGACACCTGTACAATACACTACCGCCATCTAAATCAGCGTTGTTCAATAATTATATACAAAAAAGTGTCAGCTGACCTCCAGCACCAGTAGCCGGCTGTACCACCGCCATTCACTGTTTACAAAACAATCACAGTTTGACACCTGCCTCACCTTCCCACAATTTAGAATTGTTAAATTATATTTGAGATGTTAGAATGTCCTCCAGATTCACGGGGAAGAAATCATTGATTGTTTTATCTTTTAACTTTCTATGATAACTGCATTAAAGGTCAATATTACTGGCATACAATGTCAACAAAAATGGGAATAATTATTTCTATTGTGTGCCATTTTTATATCTTCTTTAGGAACATATTTATGTGTGTAAAATAAGACAACCGAAGGTATACATATTACGAAAATTAATATACGTAAATCAGATCTAGACCAAAGGGTCTTAAACTACACACTGACTACCCTTATATTAAAAGTATATTTCTTACTTTTTCAGCTTCATGAATTAGAAAGGTTTGCCTAAACTAGGATAAAAAATTATTAGGGTTATCCTAGGTTCTCTACACATATGCTGCTATGTATGATAATTCTATGTAACTGTATTTGTGTATACCTGAATAAACTTACTTACTTAAAGCCACAAGGGTCATACAGCGCTGCAGAGTAGGATGTGCTAAATGTGTAATATGCTTGATAAGAGACCAGCGAGGGTAAAGAATATGCCAGAGAGAGTTAATAAGGGCGACGAGGAATGCTAAAGGAAAGTATAACTAAAAGTCGGTGTATTATTATTATTATTATAATCAAAAAGAAGCGCTAAGCCACAAGGGCTATACAGCTAAAAGTCGGTGTAATAAAGCTGTTGCTGACAATAAAAATCAAAGAAGGATTCTGTCAAAGGTGGGGGCTGTCAGCGAAGAGGTCAGATAAAGCAAGAGCGTTAGATTATTATTATTATAATCAAAAAAAAAGAAGCGCTAAGCCACAAGGACTATACAGCGGAGAGCGTTAGAGGATTAAAGCTAATGATGCCCAAACAAAACCTTAACCTATATTATTTGAGTTCTCTCAAGTTCTAATATCCTAGTCTGCTACCTTTCCCACGTCACTGAGTTTATAGGAAGTAGCAGAGGTGTTGTTGCAGCAGGAGTCAGGGTTGTATCCCTGGTGTCTGAGGGCCTGTGCTCTCACTTGAATGAGGCTTTCAACTCATGACTTTTATTAACACCCAGTTATTGGAATGTGCAAGTGTTAATTTGATTTTTTATTTAAAAAATGGTTTGGCATTTTCTCCCAAAAATATCTTGAGTATGCCTCATCTGAACGTCTTTTATCCCTAATGGTTGATGCGTCTCGGGTATGTGAAAATTTGTCAATATACATACATACATAGCTCAAAAATGTCAGTGTCTACCTACTGAGGCTCGCAAGACCCAATGTTTAGCTTTTATACAATGCCATATAGATTACTCTTGCTCTACATGGTACTCTGCCGTAGCAGAAAAAGCTGAAAGACAGACTACAAATCGCCCAGAAAAAATGGTGAGATTCATCCTGGACCTGCGTCCAAGGACAGCATGTAGGCCAGGATGAATTGCAATTGGATATGCTGAATGTTGAAGACAGAGTAAAACAATTGAATTTAAATCACATTGATAAAATTGCTTACAATGTCCAGAATATTTTGCTGCCAGGTTTGTCGAGGCTGGGAACTAAAGAAATATAGTACTAGAGGAAAGGAACACAACTTGTAGTACTTGCAGTAGGTGGTCAGGCCTCGAGCACCTTGTATGGTATAGCAATAAAGGAATGGGACGGACTGCCTGCACATCTCAAAGCCTGTCATAGCATGAGCCAATTCAAAAAGAGGGCAAAAAGATACCTAATGAATGTAGAAACAGAAAGGGAGGAGAGTGATTTCTTGCATATTATTATTATTATAATCAAGGGGGAAGCGCTAAACCCGGAGGATTATACAGCGCCTGGGGGGGGGGGATGTGGAAGGCATTCAGGCTTAATTCGGGGAACTGGAGCACAGATCCAATTTCCTAAATCAAGAGCCCCTCACCAACATCAAGGAACCTTCCTTGAGGGGATTTCTTGCATAGCTAACATACATTATCTATTCCTGTGAGCTGATCCTCTCTTTAATATTAAATGTAAATAACCCAGCTGACTTTATTCCTAGTATATTTCCTTTTATTGTAACTGCTATTCACATTGCTAGGTTACTTGCCTGTTTCAACTTTTAAGGTTTAAATAATGTTATTACAAGGACCCCAATGGAAATAAGTCACTGTCTAATTTTTTTCGGTTATCCTAGGTAATCTACACATATGCTGCTATGTATGATAATTTATGTAACTATTTATGTGTACCTGTACCTAAATAAACTTACACTAAACCCACAAGGATCATACAACACTACAGCTGTAAGGAGATTTGCCTACGGAAATAAGTGACTACCTTTTTTGGGGGGTTATCCTAGGTAATTTATACTATGTATGATTATTGTACTTAAGTATACCTGTGCCTAAATAAACTTACTATTTATCTTGATTGCCAGCACTTAATTCAACATTGTGCGGCAAATGCGCTACCACCGAGCTTTTAGTTTTATACTGAGGCGAAAAATATAAACATATGATGTTCAATGCGTTTGACACTCTCGGAGAATATCCAAGTAAGTGTGCTAGTTACCCAAAAATCCCCTCGAAGGCAAAGTTCCTCGTCTGAAGTGACAAAATGTTCCCAAATAAGCCAAGGGTTGAGCTTAAGAGTTCGTGTATGGTGTTAAGACGAGGCTCACTGCACCAGCTCTTCACTCCAACACACAAACAAACATGGCAACATCAGGGTGCTCGCGTGTCCTCCTCAGAAACACACTATTATCTCTCACTAACCCAAGTTTACCACGCTCAGTATTCTGCAGTGTAACTTACAGACAACTTAGGAGTGCAGTGACAGCGAGCACCGGAATAAGATGGGTCACATTACGCAAGTACTCCACCAACAAGTTGGGCCCAGACAAAACTGTAAGTCTGGCGGATGAGCTGCTGGCATCTAAGCTGCAGCCTCAGCCAGACCACAAGACACAACACGACGAACAAAACAGCAAAAAGGAGCAGCAGGAAAAAGAGAAGACGTGGAGAACACTCAAATACTCATTTATTGGGTTTGGCGTTATGATGACCGGGATGAGCGGCTTCCTGATATGGAGTTGGGGTCAGTATATAAGTGATACTGGTTAATTAAGATGGGGAGTTGGGGGTCAGTATATAGGTGATGCTGGTTAAGGTGGGGAGGTGGGGTCAGTATATAAGTGATGCTGGTTAAGGTGGGGTCTGTATAAGTGATGCTGGTTAAGGTGGGGAGGTGGGGGTCAGTATATAGGTGATGCTGGTTAAAATGGGAAGGTAGGGTCAGTATCTAGGTGATGCTGGTTAAGATGGGGAGGTAGGGTCAGCATATGAGTGATGCTGGTTAAGATGGGGAATTGGGGGTCAGTATATAGGTGATGCTGGTTAAGATGGGGAGGTGGGGTCAGTATATATGTGATGCTGGTTAAGATGGGGAGGTGGGGTCAGTATATAGGTGATGCTGGTTAAGATGGGGAGGTAGGGTCAGTATATGAGTGATGCTGGTTAAGATGGGGAGGTAGGGTCAGTATATGAGTGATGCTGGTTAAGATGGGGAGGTGGGGTCAGTATATAGGTGATGCTGGTTAAGATGGGGAGGTAGGGTCAGTATATGAGTGATGCTGGTTAAGATGGGGAGGTGGGGTCAGTATATAGGTGATGCTGGTTAAGATGGGGAGGTAGGGTCAGTATATGAGTGATGCTGGTTAAGATGGGGAGGTGGGATCAGTATATAAGTGATACTGGTTAAGATGGGGTCAGTGTATAAGTGATACTGGTTAAGATGGGGTCAGTGTATAAGTGATGCTGGTTAAGATGGGGAGGTGGGGTCAGTATATAAGTGATACTGGTTAAGGTGGGGTCAGTGTATAAGTGATACTGGTTAAGATGGGGAGGTGGGGTCAGTATGTGAGTGATGCTGGTTAAGATGGGGAGGTGGAGTCAGTATATAAGTGATGCTTATTAAGATGGGGAGGTGGGATCAGTATATAAGTGATGCTGGTTAAGATGGGGTCAATATACAAATGATGCTGGTAGTGGTAGGGTCAGTATATAAGTGATTCTGGTAAAGGTGGGGTCAGTATATAAGTGATTCTGGTAAAGGTGGGGGTCAGAATATAAGTGATATTGGTAAAGGTGGGGGTCAGTATATAAGTGATATTGGTAAAGGTGGGGTCAGCATGTTACTGTGGTACTGTTAGGGCAACAGTGTTACAATGTAAAGATTTAGTTTATATATGCCAGTTTTTTGCAGGGATAGTGTGAAATTGCCTAAAGATAGTTTAATATCATTATCATGTAATGCATAGTCATCATGTGAGTATGTGGTTCATTTTGTGCCTCTGTAGTTAAAAAATTACAGAGGCACTAAATGAATCTAGGTAACCATGTACCAGCACTGTCCTTTTACAGAAGAAATAACATTACCTAATCTAGCCTATCCTTTCAGACTTAATACCTTGATGTCACTAAAGTGCTCTTAATTCAAAGAATTAGATACCCTTCCCTTCCTCAGATTAAACTTTAACTTTAACTTAAGCAAACCTAAGAGTAAATTGTCCATAAGCAACAGTAAAAAAAAATTTAAGTACAGTTACTGATTTGGAAAGGGTATAGGAAAGCACCAGTTTGGCAGTAGAGCTGTTAAGTGACATACATATATTGTACTGCAGAATGCCATTGTTTGCATGTACAGTATGTACCTCGTAATTTTAATTTGTACAGTATTTGGTGTATTTCAGGTTCTCCGACTGTTGATGTGGAGGGCAACCCCATACCCGATGAATTCTCCAAAATGCCAGTTATCCAACAATATCTGTACCGTACTTGGCGAGGTATGCATGACATGAATAAAATGATTCAAGAACCATCACGTGAGAAGCTCTTGCCGGATCCATTAAAAGAGCCATACTTCCAGCCACCATACACGCTAGTCCTGGAGCTCCGAGATGTTCTAGTGCATCCTGAATGGACGGTCAGTTGGAGACTATGCTAAACCTCATGTGCTATGAAATGAATGTTAATAAATGTTTAAAGTGGTTTGCTACATTAAGTATTAAAAACAGAAATAGGTATATTTTCATTGTAAAAGAATAGGTAGGGATATCTTTACTCTTAATGTTACAGCAAGTGGGCACTATAACCTGGGTTCCTCATGAATTTAACAATAATTTGAATGAAAGATAATATTCAGAATGTGTGTTGTTTATCTATGTGTACGATATTGTAGGTTTTAACTTCATGTGATCTCTTTACAGTACGAAACTGGTTGGCGGTTCAAGAAACGTCCTGGTGTAGAGTTCCTCTTGCATCATTGTGCTCCTCCACTGTTTGAAATTGTTATTTATACCAATGAACAAGGATTTGTGAGTTCAGTTTGGTTGGTTTGAAGTACTCTCAGCTTATTATTTTGTTAGCTATACATCTATATACTTTCTTTTAATTAGTTTTTTAGTTTGTTTATAGCTGGAAAGCATTCTCATCTCGAGAACTGTAATTATGCACATTTTAGCTGCTGTAACAAAATGTGGTTCAAATCAACAGTTTCTGGTGTTTGAGTTATTGGACATTTCTGAAGGTGATAAGTATATTTATGGGTCACTTGCTGAAACACTGTAAATGATTACACTTAACTGCTTCCATAACTACTATACACTATTATTATTATTATAATCAAAAAGAAGCACTAAGCCACAAGGACTATACACTATTATCTTCTCTGTGTTAAACTTGCAGTATATAACTTTTAGTATACACCTACCATCCAACTTACGACCGAGTTCGGTTCCGAGAAACCAGTCGTAAGTCAAAATGGACGTAAGTCGAACTTTACTACTGAATATCAACACATTTTTGTAATGACTTTATTTTATTGTTTTATTTTGGTATTTCATGTTTTACTTTACTTTTTATGCTGTTAGTACTGTATTTTATACTGTAAGGTTTAGGATAAACACTGTGTACAACACAAATAGTTGTTTATTTCCCAGAAATTTGGCAAAAAAAAACACAGTCGTAAGTCGAGTGGTCATAAGTCGAGCAGGTCGTAAGTCGGATGGTAGGTGTACCACCATTTGCACTTAAGTATTATGACAACAAACTACCCAGTCAGTCGAGGCTGATTTCCATCCAGCTCAATTGCTAGCCCACTCAACTCACACATTGAGGTCCATGGTTCAATCCACGGCACGGGTAGAAACATTAGGACTTGTTTCATTAAGACACTTGCTGTCCCAGTTCTATCAGTAAAATAGGCACCTGGGTGTTAATTGATTGTTCTGGGTCACATCCTGGGGACAAAATTGACATAATTTGCCCAAAATGCTCTGCATAACAAGGGGTTTTCTATATAGTGATACAGTATGTCATTGATGTCAGCTAGGCCTGTATACCTTGTACATATATTTGTAGAAATAAAAATTATTATTATTATTAAAGAAGTCATGTAGATGAAGGTAAAAGCAGATATCAGATCATACAGTCCACACTGAGGCTATCTGCAGTGGCCAAAGTAAAGTTTGGTTATGTCTGTTAAGTGAAGGGCATGTTACCATGCCTCCTCAGACAGTATATCATTTCTGTGTTTTAACTACATCTTGCTAATTTTATAATTTTGTTGTACAGTGGACCCTCGACCAGCGATGGCATCGATTAACGATAAATCTGACTAGCGATACATTTTATCGCAAAAATTTTGCCTCGATTAGCGCTAAAAAACTCGACCAACACTATTCCTTCCGTCTCGACGCGTCCACTTCTGGCCAGTGTTTACAAGCCAGCCAGCCACCGCGGTCGCTTCCAAGCATACAATCGGAACATTTCATATTATCACAGCCTTTTTAGTGATTGCACCTACAAAATAAGTCACCATGGGCCCCAAGAAAGCTTCTAGTGCCAACCCTACAGCAAAAAGGGTGAGAATTACTATGGATATGAAGAAAGAGATCATTGCTAAGTATGAAAGTGGAGTGCATGTCTCCGAGCTGGCCGGGCTGTACACAAAACCCCAATCAACCATCGCTACTATTGTGGCCAAGAAAACGGCAATCAAGGAAGCTGTTCTTGCCAAAGGTGCAACTATGTTTTCGAAACTGAGATCGCAAGTGATAGAAGATGTTGAGAGACTGTTATTGGTATGGATAAACGAAAAACAGATAGCAGGAGATAGCATCTCTCAAGCGATCATATGTGAAAAGGCTAGGAAGTTGCATGACGATTTAATTAGAAAAATGCCAGCAACTAGTGGTGATGCGAGTGAATTTAAGGCCAGCAAAGGTTGGTTTGAGAGATTTAAGAATCGTAGTGGCATACATAGTGTGATAAGGCATGGTGAGGCTGCCAGTTTGGACCAAAAAGCAGCTGAAAAATATGTGCAGGAATTCAAGGAGTACATAGACAGTGAAGGACTGAAACCTGAACAAGTGTTTAATGGTGACACTGACAATGTTGTGAAACACGTTAGGAATGTCATAAAGGAACGGGAGGTACAGGCCTCTATGGGCAGATATGTTGTGCGACAGAGGTCCAGTGACTCAAGCTGGTCCTAGTGGCATTAAAAGAAGGGAAGTAACCCCGAAAAAGGACTTGCCACCTCAAGTCCTAATGGAAGAGGATTCCCCTTCTAAACACTAAGACCATCAACACACTCCCCTCTTCCCATCCCATCAGTCATCACCAGATCTTCAATAAAGGTAAGTGTCATGTAACTGTGCATGTCTTCTTCAGTTTGTGTGTATTAAAATTAATATTTCATGTGTTAAAATTTTTTTTTTTCAATACTTTTGGGTGTCTTGCACGGATTAATTTGATTTCCATTATTTCTTATGGGGAAAATTAACTTGACTAACGATTATTTTGACTAACGATGAGCTCTCAGGAACGGATTAATAGCGTTAGTCGAGGGTCCACTGTATATCATTTGCTCATGACTTCTTTCTTCTTTCAACACACCGGCCGTATCCCACTGAGGTGGGGTGGCCCAAAAGGAAAAACGAAAGTTTCTCCTTTTACATTTAGTAATATATACAGGAGAAGGGGTTACTAGCCCCTTGCTCCCGGCATTTTAGTCGCCTTTTACAACATGCATGGCTTACGGAGGAAGAATTCTGTTCCACTTCCCCATGGAGGTAAGAGGAAATAAACAAGAACAAGAACTAGAAAGAAAATAGAAGAAAACCCCAAGGGGTGTGTATATATATGCTTGTACATGTATGTGTAGTGTGACCTAAGTGTAAGTAGAAGTAGCAAGACATACCTGAAATCTTGCATGTGTTTTTTTTTTTTTTTTTTTTTTTTTTTTCTTCAACAAACCGGCCGTATCCCACCAAGGCGGGGTGGCCCAAAAAGAAAAACGAAAGTTTCTCTTTTTAAATTTAGTAATTTATACAGGAGAAGGGGTTACTAGCCCCTTGCTCCTGGCATTTTAGTCGCCTCTTACAACACGCATGGCTTACGGAGGAAGAATTCTGTTCCACTTTCCCATGGAGATAAGAGGAAATAAACAACAACAAGAACTAGAAAGAAAATAGAAGAAAACCCAGAAGGGATGTGTATATATACATATATATGCTTGTACATGCATGTGTAGTGTGACCTAAGTGTAAGTAGAAGTAGCAAGACGTACCTGAAATCTTGCATGTGTATGAGACAGAAATAAAAAGACACCAGCAATCCTTCCATCGTGTAAAACAATTACAGGCTTCAGTTTTACACTCGCTTGGCAGGACGGTAGTACCTCCCTGGGCAGTTGCTGTCTACCAACCTACTACCTAGATGCTCATGACTTATCAGCAACAATTTATCTTCCCTAGACTGCTTACCCAGTGATTGATCACCTGGACCCGAATGGTTACATATGGTATCGCCTATTCAGAGACTCAACTCGCTATGTTGAAGGCAAACACGTTAAGGATCTTAGCTGTCTCAACCGAGATTTAAATAAGGTTAGTTTTGTAATATAATTTTTTCTCTTTTAAAAACTTACAAATAAAGCATCATTTACTTAATTAATGATAAGTGGCCACAACATACACCGGAAGCATCCATTGCATTTTACTTACTGTATAGAGGTGGTCAGCAGAAACTGAATAGAATCTTCAGGAGGTGGTTTTGTATATGAAAAAATAGGTAAATTATGGATGTGGTCTGGATGCACTCATTTGTATTTCATTTTATTTGTTGAGGACTTTGTACAGGCACTGCATATTTAAGACTGGGTTTCACATATGATGTAAAAAGTATTTTTTAAATTATTTCCAGATTTATAAAAGCTACTCTTTTGTAAGTATAGCTCATATTATTAATGGTATTTTGTTTGAAATACAAGGAAGATGTTTGGGGCAGTGGTTATTGATAAACCCTTTTCTTTAAATGTCTCTGTGAGCTTTTCCTCCAGTATATCTCCCAGTGGTTTTGGAACACTTTGTTCTGATTTCATTCCAGCCATTTACCACTATTTGTGAATGATACTCTCTGCATTTATTCTTAGGCATTTAAAATTTACAGCATCCTGACAGAAGCATGCTGATATCACAGTTCAGATGGTCCATCAAATTGCAGCATTCTCACCCCTCCTTACAGCTTACCTAGAAGAATTTGTCTTATTTCATAAGTCCATTATATTGAGGTCTGTTATACTGAGGTATTACAGTCATTGATTAAAGAAAAGTATTCAGCTCACACTCATATGGATGCACATTTCAGATAATCTGTGTGGACTGGGATAGTAATGCTGTCTCCTCTCCTCGCAACCATCTCAAGTTGGATCGCTGGGATGGTAACATGAGCGATCAGTCCCTTTTAGAGCTGGGCTTTATGTTACGCAGTAAGTTTTCGTAGTCATACTAATGGTGAAAGTGTTTCTTTTTCTGGGTCACCCTGCCTTGGTGGGAGACGGCCAGCGTGTTAAAAATTTTGTTACCAGAATCTCTATTCTTATTACAGATTAATTGGGTGTGGGTTGGGGGGTGTCCCCTCTCTTCAGTTCTGAAATTTGATTGATCAAGTAAATTTTCTTTGAGTCTAAAAGTGTTTTTATTAACATCTTTGTTAAAAAAGGGGAATGTACTAGAGTTTAGTGGTACCAACACTTGTATGGGTATGAAGCATCAATATTGAATGTTGCAGCAAGGAGGAGGCTAGAGACAGTAGAGATATCGAGTTTGAGGACAATGAGTGGTGTGAATATTATGCAGAGAATTTGGAGTTTGGATATTATTCATTATTCAGAGGGGTGAAGAGGGTTTGTTGAGGTGATTTGGACATTTAGTGAGGATGGAGAAAAATAAGATGACTAGGAGGGCATATAAATCTTTAGTGGAGGGAAAGAGAGGTAGGGGTCGTCTTTGAAATGGTTGGAGGGAGGGAGCAAACGAGATTTTGAGTGCAAGAAGCTTAGGCATCCAGCAAGCATGTTAGATAAGAGCCAGCAGAGACAAATGTTTTTTATGACATGATGTGCTGTTGGAGTATGAGCAAAGTAACATTTATGAAGGAATTCAGGGAAACTGGTTAGCCAGACTTGAGTCCTGGAGGTGAGAAGTACAGTGCATGTGCTTTGAAGGAGGGGGTGTTGATATGTTACAGTTTTTTTAACTGTAGTGTAGGCATGCCTCTGGCAAGACAGTGATGAAGTGAATGACGGTGAAAGTTTTTCTTTTTCGGGCCACCCTACCTTGGTGAGGAAACGGCCGATGTGTTTATTAAAAAAAAATAAGTATTGGTGACCCTCTGGCAATCGGTGATGAGTGATTGATGGTGAAAGTGTTTCTTCTCTTTTGGGTCACCCTACCTTGGTGAGAGATGGCCAGTTTGTTAATAAAAAATCTGAAAAACTTTAAATTTGCCATGAATGCATTTTTTTTAACTGAGATATAAAACTTTTTCTTTTCTTTTTGGGTCACCCTGCCTCAGTGGGACATGGCCGACTTGTTAAAAAAAAAAAAATGAAACTTGCCCTGTAGACTATTATTGCTAAATAATATTTTGCTCCTTTTGTTACAGCAATTGCAGAATCAGAAGTGTCAGATGTTCGTGAAGTCATTGACTACTACCGTACATTTGACAACCCTCTTGCAGCTTTTCGAGAAAATCACAGGAAAGCTCAGGAACAAGAGTTATTGCTGAGCCAGAAAGCTGAAGAAGACCGACAACAAAAGAGTTTTATGAGTTCATGGACATCATCCTTCCTTCGGAGACGATAATATCAACATGAGTGATTTTGGCTGCACCACTTTACGATGTGCTCACATGCATAGAAAGGAAAGATTAATAGGCAGGTTAAGTGAGTGGCAATGCAAATGATGGTACTGGCACAGATGGAAAGTTGGCCAAGTAAACTGTAGTTGGGTCATCAGAGTCTGTAGTATGTTGACATAACTGTATTTTGTTTCCATGGATAAAAATACAGAAAGATATATACAGATCACTTGGCTGCAGATCATCAAAGTGTTAGGTGAGTGATACATTTCTACTAGTAGTAGTTTATACTAAAAAAGGAATACAGTATTTGGACAGGGTTTTGCTTGAAAATCCTTACTGTGTAGTGGAAAACCTAGTATAGGTAGCTGAAAGGCAGTGCATCTTCAACTATTAATACACAACTGTATGTACATCCTCAGTTACCTGTGGTAGGTAGGTAAAGAAGGATGGTGCCATAGGTTTAAATATCATATGTAGAACTTTCCTGCTCAACATTTAAACCCAGTTTATTTGATCTTTTTGAAAATGCATTTAAAGGCATCGGTGATTGAGTCTGTACAATGAAAGACTTTCCATAGCACTGTAATTCTATTGAACCTTGAGACATACATACTTTAAAACATTACCTGCTGTGAATGTCAAGCTGATATTGCTTGTAAAATTTAATTAAATGCAGATAATTTAGTAAATTTAAAAGTTATGGAGGCAAAAGGCACAAAGCATGGGACACTGTCTTCAACTGTTTCCTTATCAGCAATCGAACCTTTACTGGGACGCTCAGTTTATGGTTGGATCTATAGTTTCCAGTGTGATATTGTTTGTACATAAATTTATTTTTGTTATATTTGTCCTATAAAATCTATTGTCACAGTTGTTTCATTTGTGATTGATTGTGTAGGACAAAGCTATAATTGTAAATCGGCTGATTGGGAACCAGTGAGTGTGAGGTACCAAATGGTTGTATGGAAGCAGTCATTGTATGATATACTTAATTTGATTGGTGCAAGTTCTAGGAGTAAAAGGTTAGCCTGGTTCCTATAAATGCAGCATGTTGTATTCTAATGAGGATGAGCATCCAGAAATACACTGGTGTCTGGAGATGATGTAAGGAAGTCAACACACAATGTTTCTTCATGTGTCCTTACAGCTTTCCCAGAACGTTTTCCAAGATTTGTAAATAAAAAAAAATTGAAATCACTAGTTTCTTTGTATGTTTTTACCCTAGGTAATTAGTACATATACTCAACATATATTGCATGTTCCTTATGTTTATTCTGTTATTGTTAATAATGTATGCTGTATTCAAAATTTCAAGAATGTTATTAAAATTCAGTTCAATAGTAGTACCTACAAGACCTAATTGAGGTCCTGCTCTATTTTCCAATAACAACAGTACAAGTATATTTTGATCTGAAAATGCATTTTGACACTGTTTCCTCACAGGAGATTAATATACAAATTAAAAAACTAAACTGGAGTGGCTAGGTAGGTATTCTAATAGACAAGAGACTGCATAGCAGCCACAGTGAGAAGTATAAGCATAAAGGAAAGTAACAAGTGCAGTACCACCAGGGGTATCTACTGTACAACTAATGAAGCTTAAGCTTCAGGGGCCTCTAATCCCGGAGGGACCACAGAAGTGACTTTAATCCACATTGCTTAAAAATTTTGGGTTTACTGTATGATTAGGGGTTGTGAAGGGCCCCCATAACAGTTCAAGATTCAGGGTCCCAAAAATGTAGATCTGCCACTGAGTACCACAAGGTTTTATTCTTGGACCTACTCTTCCTAATACTATATGTGTGTGCAGAGTATATAAAACTAATAGAAGAATAAGAATGGGATTGCATCATGGTTTAACTTGAGTAAGCTACTGAAATAGTCCAACAAGTCGCTACTGGATATCAACTCTCACAAATAAATGATTATGAAGTCGGGATCAAGAGGATGAAAGCCACAGGAAGAGTACAACTTCAAAGGGAGGAAACTCAAAATTCAAAAAGAGGAAAAGAACACCATACCAAACCTTTTGCCTATGGGACACTTTTTTAAAAAGAAAATAGTATATGAAAAGCAGGTAAATATAAGAACAACCTTCATGAATCAGAATAAGGAGGGATTCAGTTCACTGTACACAGCATCCTTAAGACCACTGCTGGAGAACTAGACTCTGCTTGTATCCCTAATCTCATTAAGTATAAAAGAAACTAGATAAAGTTTGAAGGTGTGCTACAAAGGCTGATAATATGAAGTTAGGTGAGAGCTGGCTTTTAAATCAGTAGGTCTTAGGGTTATAGAAGATAAAAATACGACATATCTGGTAAGAACAGATTGAGATATGAGAACACAGAACGAGAGGACATTGGAAATTAGATGGTCAAACGAGCCACAGGGATATAAAAAGCCAAGAAGCGTAGTGAAGGTCAACTTGGCACGTGATGCAAAAGTAGATATGACAACCCAAAAGAGAAAGGAGTAACCACAACAACTAGCTGCATTACCAAGTTGGGGCTCAAGGGCCAGATAACAAACTTATAGTAGCACTAAACCCGTGGAAGTCAAACAACACCTGGAGGATCCAAGGAAAGGAAGGCTAGATCAGATTCCTAGGATCAAGAGCCCTTCATCAGTATCAAGGGCAAGAGCTCAACCCTCACAGATGTAACTAAGTGGATACACAATACATATAACACTCGTGTACGTAACATTATGTTAGTTTAATATCATTATTATGCACCCCATTCCCATCCTGTGGGTGGTAGTCAAAGAATTAGAGGTACATAATGGGTCCAGGGACTGGGCCGCAAAGTTCTGATAGCTGAACAAGTTACAAGGTAATGAACTCCAGGTAGATCTACATTACAAAGAACGACAATATCCAGAATTCACACCTATTATAATTATTAAAGATTAATCATTAGGTATTGTCGACAGGATATCCCAGACATGATACTGGACTAAGTACATAAGTAAGTTTATTTAGGTACAGGTACACATAAGTACAATTATCATACCAAGTAACAGATGTGTAAATTACCTAGGATAACCCAAAAAAGTCAAAGTGCCTTATATCCATTGGGGTCCTTGTAATATCTTAGTACTGTGACCAGGCAAATTCGTCAATATACTTAATTTATAAAACTTGGAATCGTTGGAATCTGTGCGATAACTGGAGAATCCCTCTTCTGATCGGCTTTAAACTTTCGGCACTGTTGTGTTTTCCGGAAAGCAAGGTTGGCGTTATTATTAGGCTGCACAAATTCCAATTTACCAGTAACCAGTAACATGGTTACCACCAGACAAAAGATAATTCACAAATGCAATAATTTTTTTTATATCACGAATTTAAGATGGGGAAAATACATTTGTATCATTAGTGAATAATGCAAACAATCGCAGACGGGCGATCTTAATTGTGCAGGACAAGCCACGGGGGAAGGGGGGTGGAAATCTTTAGCTCAAGTACTTTCACACTTCTCAATGCATCATCAGGAGCTGTGCAATGTTGCAAGGGAGCAACCAAAGCAGGGAGAGAGGTCTCAGAGTAACGTAGGTGTCACTGGCCATGGTTACCCTTAGACTGGGTTAGTGGTCGGTGCCAACCCCACCCTACCATCTTCCCTCCATTACCCACATGGGGTTTAGAAAAAGCCCCAAGCTTTTTCTAATCGTTTGTAACAGGTCATATGGTTTGAGAAAATACGTTACTCGTCTACAGTATCTAGCAAGTAACTTATTTTCTCAAACCATATGACCTGTTATAAACGATTAGAAAAAGCTTGGGGCTGGCTTTTTATATCTTATAATTTCCTACCTGACATCTCAGAAACCCTCCTACCCTATATGGGTAGTGGAGGGAAGATGGTAGGGTGGGGTTGGCACCGACCACTAACCCAGTCTAAGGGTAACCGTGGCCAGTGACACCTACGTTACTCTGAGACCTCTCTCCCTGCTTTGGTTGCTCCCTTGCGACATTGCACAGCTCCTGATGACGCACTGAGAAGTGTGAAAGTACTTGAGCAAAAGATTCCCCCCCCCCGTGGCTTGTCCTGCATAATTAGTGAATAAAAATTAGTGTTGCTGTTATTGTTGCAGGTGTTGCTTTTGTTTTACAGTTATAACAAATATTGTCACTGTTTCTTCCTCACATTCTCCCTTATTCCCGAAACTCTCAGCCATATACTTCTCTACGATTACTCCCCACCCACTCCCACCCTACGATTACTCCCCATCCACTCCCACCCTATGATTACTTTCCACCCACTCCCACCCTACGATTACTCTCCACCCACTCCCACCCTACGATTACTCTTCACCCGCTCCCACCCTACGATTACTCCCCACCCACTCCCACCCTACGATTACTCTCCACCCACTCCCACCCTACGATTACTCCCCACCCACTCCTTCCCTACGATTACTCCACCCAATTCCACCCTTCGATTACTCCCCACCCATTCCTCCCCTAGGCTAAGTCCCCACCCCCTCTTCCCACCAGAGGTGCTCTCCCACCATCCCCTCACATCCTTCCAACGTAGTGTGTGGCAGGTCCAGCGGTGCTCAACTAGTGGTGATACTGGTACCATCAGTGTTCCATCATCCTCACTCGGATACTTGCCCACGTTAATATTGAGTTCGCAGCGCTCCTTAAGTGTTCCTTATGCATTCAGTGATACTTGTTCTCCTTATCTGCTCAGCGTTACTTGTACATTCACTGTTAATTTGTGTTACGTGTTCAGTGTTACTATATGTTCCTTATATATGTTACTTCGCGATGTTGATGGCGGTATTTGCTACAGCTACTCTGTTGCTACATGACTAGATTGGTTTGGGTGTCCTTAGTTATTAGGGAATATGATACAAATTTTAGTAGCGGTTTCAATTTTAGTGTGCTGACTGTGCGCAAAGTTCTCTTTCCAAAGTTCCTGAGAAAACAAAGGGAACAGCAGTTCTGTAAAAAACTTAGCGGGTGTAGACGCACTACTCTTCTAATTGTGAATACACGAAGAAAAAATCATATTGCCCCTCCTTGTTTAACTATTGTGGTTTGTTGGAATAAATGTATAGCAAGTCGTTTTTTTTTTTTTTTTTTTTTGGGGGGGGGGGTCTGGCTTTCGATACGCCTGAAATGTTAGTGTAAAGTTACTGAATTTATTAATTAAGAAATCTAGGAAGGAATTTTTGCACTACCTTTTCATTCAAACTAAATTAAATAGGACAGCTTTACCCGGTAAAGCGTTTCCCGTAGATCCCCGATGTCCGTCCACCTGCAGGAAACAACAACAATAATAATTATAATAATAATAATAAAGTTGTCGACAAAACGTGACTATTTAATGTTACTTGGGATACTGTTAATGAAATGTTTAGGTTCCATAAACAAATTGGCTAGAACTGCGCTAGTAGGTGAACACATTCCTATACTATAACACTGTAGCTGAAGTAACTGAAATTTACGCCCAACTCATATGGACAAGATCTTTTGCTGGGAGAGAGGACGACCTAAGTTATGAACCTTTTGGTGCAAGACTTTAAGAGACTCTTAAGTGAGACGTTGTCCTAATAGAAGTTAATTGTGTTACACGTGTCTTGCTTGTGTGTGTGTGTATGTAGGGGATTAGAGAGATACCGAGAGTGGTGTTACAAACTCACCCTCGGAGAAGTTATATTGTCAAACCTTATTAGACCACTTGAAAGTGGATGAAAAACTAGGAATAAATTGATGATAATAATATAAAGCCAGAGGTGCTGTAAAATAGTTTAAATAAGTCAAGAAAAAGTCACCGACATTTGTAATTCACTAACTCAAAAGCGCCTGAAAAGCATGGAACACATACAGAAATACACAAAGAAGTCCCTAGGTGCTTTAACATTATTGGAAAAAAATGCTTTAAAAATGTCTTGAAATACTTCATGACAGCTATAAAATCAGAGGCGAAGACTGAGCAATGTTTACAAGGTGGTGGCGATGGTGGTGTCTGCTGCTAGTGTTCACTCTCATTATGGTGAGTAACTCATTAACTTAGTACCAAAAAAACATGAATAATAGTTACAAAACCGTGGCTGCAACAGTCCACATCTAACCCACTTATTGGAAATGAAAAGTTCAACTTCTATCCATCTTGGACCATTATCATATTTCCCAGCTGGATGTCAAATTATGAGGAATTACAAAGGAAACAGAGAAACGGATGAGT